TGCTCCAAATCATCCAGTTCATGAAGCTAGGATTTTAACTCTGGTCTGCCCTCAAAGTCCAACCAAGTTCTTTTACAAATATCTGGGACAGGATGAACATGTAGAGGACTACGTGCTCACAAACCAGACGTTCCCAGTACGTCCTGCTCTTGCAAAGGAAGCAGGGCGTTCCCGATACGTCCTGCTCTTGCAAACGAAGCAGGGCGTTCCCGATAAGTCCTGCTCTTGCAAATGAAGCAGGGCGTTCCTTCCCTGTAAACAGGGAGGACAAAGGAGCCAGCTGCAAACAGCAGACCCTGGGGGCTTGTTTATGTGTAAACATCTTGAAAATCCAGAAAGTCAGGGAAAGGTCAGAAAAAAAAATGTGTCTTATGACTTGGCAACATTCCACAAATGACTGTATAAAATAAAGGAGAGTGCGCCATTCGGGGCGGCTGCCATGTTTGTCTTGTCTTGTGTTGTCTTGTGTGTTCATTCCTTTGTTTAGGAAACACGTGGACCCCAACAGAACAGAAGTAGATAGATTATATGATATGTAAAATTGTCTCAAATACACAACTCTTTTTTTTTTTTAGATATCTAACCTAAGAGCATATTTCTAACCTGTTTCCTATTTTATTTATTTTAATGTATTCTGTAGTAAAAATGAAAATCCTCAATAAGTAAAATCCAGATCTATATGCCGGACAAATTAAGAAATCATTGTTTACTTTGTTAATGGCTCTTTGGCTTATTATAAAAAGTTTTCTTTAAATATCCCCCATTAAAGTGTATGTTTTCATTAAAAATCCAATTAATAAATATTCTTAATTTGCTGTCTTAGATGCTATCTTATAGCAGAAAATAAATAGAAGAGAAGAAACAGTTTTGAATTTTAAATAACTTAAATCAGTAATGATGGAAAAAACACATACGAATAAAAAATAAATTAGGAAGCATGTTGAAAATATATGCTGCTCTGGAGGTTGTAAAAAAAAAAAAACTAACAAATGAGGGGAAAGAAGGATGAATAAAAAAAGCACATGTGATTTTTAGGGCAGTGAAACTACTCATATGTATACATGTCACTATGTATTTGGCCAAGCCATAGAATGTACACCAACAGTGAATCCTAACATAAACTGTGGGCTCTGGGTGATAATGAGGTATCAGTGTAAGTTCATCATTTGTAACAATTTTTTTTTTATGGTGGGGGATGTTGATATTGGGGAGGGACTATACATGTCTAGGGGCAGGGGCTATGTGAGAAATCTCTGTACACTCAGCTCAAGTTTTCCATGAACCTAAAACTATTCTGAAAATAAAATCTACTAAAACAAAAATAATAATAATAAAAAAACTCACAAAAAATCTAAGAAACTCATTGCCAGAATGGGATTTGAGGGAGAAGTAGAATGCTGTTAGGTAGGAAAATAGCTGGGATGGAAGTAATCATATCTCCTGTATGTGTACCCAGATAGGCATGAGGGCAAAGCATGAGCAAGTGCTCTCTTGCCTGAGATATGGGATGTTTGTCCTCAATTGTTAAAAGAGGGGGCTGGAAAGGCAGGAGGAGGCGATATCACGGAGTGCTTTGACAAACAGACTAAGTTGTTTTCATTTAATTGAGAGAGTCATTGCTGTTTGTTGACCTAGCAAATTGATTGTTAGGTAAGTTGCTTCGGGAGTGGTGAGACTTGATTAGAAAGAATAGACAGGAGACTCATGAGGAATTTTAAGTGAAAGGTGGCTCTGCCCAGACCTGAGAAATAATAATGGGAATGGAAGGAGGGGAGAGATAGGAAAGATGATATGGTAATAAAATGTGCAATACATAGAAACTGAGAGTTAAGGAAAAGAAGGAGCTTGGGTATCTCAGACAAATTTTGAGAGTAAAGAGCTAGAAAGACAGACTCATGGGCAATTAGGTAAGAGATTTTCATGAAGTCAATTTTTAAGAACCCATTTTTTTTTTTTTAAAGAAGGTATATTGATTGCACTTCCAGAATAGGTGATGATTGTAATTTTTTTGTTACCTAAGGAATGAATCCATGCTAACTAAAGACAATATTATGTAAGCATATAAAAGCACCTGTGGTTTTGTCTGCAAAATAGAGTCAATGTTACTTTAAAAGGATATTATAGGGTTTAACCTACTGGTATTGAGATATCTAATGGCTTCAGACTATATTAAGTATTGCTAGCAAAAAGCTATAGTGTGGTAAGCATTATTACTGTAATGAAGAATGAATGGTGCTTTCTTTTCATCTCTATTGCTCTGAAGGATGAGATATTAGTTTTCTTTCAAAAAAAAAAAAGGCTTCTATCTTAATCACAGAAATGCAAAGATGTCTGTAGAAATGAGTATTTTTCATTAGATTGCTGGGTGCTTCCCACAAAATTGAATTTTTTATGGTAAGTGAGGAAGGGTAAATGGGTACTGACTAGGCCACTGGCATTGTTTGTTACAATTATATGCCAGGCTCTGGGATTAGCATATATCGTTTCATTTAATCTGTAAAACCCTGTATATTTGGTTCTATCATAATCTTCATTGAACAGATTAGAAATTGTAAAATAAAAGAATTTAATTGACTTGTCTCTAAATAAAATAGCTGGTAAGACTTTCTGAATGATGACAGCTGCAGTGGGAATCGTAAAGTGCAAATGGATGAATACAACATACATTTAGGTGTGAGAACTAAACAGCCTTGGTGATCGATTGGATATGGGTTTGAGTAGATTTAGGGCCAGGAGTTATTTAGGATGGCTCCATGGTTTCTGGCTTGCAAATCACATATAGAGTTGTTCCATTCCCTGAGATAGGATATATGTGGGAATATATGTGGGAGAGGAGATTATGAGTTTGAGCTTAGGCATGCTGTTTGAGATGAGTGTGAGATATGCCAGGAAAGAGATTTAACAGGCTGCTGATTATGAGGATTAGGAGGCTTAGAAGATAGGAATGGATTGACGATAAAGCTTTTGGGGTCATCAGTTACAAATTAATTATTAAAGGCATGGATGGGTGTATAATATTTCTCAAGGACAATGTGTAGAATAGAAGATAAAATGGCTATATGTGACACCCAGGGGAACAACGGCCTTGAAGGGGAGGGCAGAGAGAGAAACTTACAGAAGGGACTTGATAGGGGTGCCTAGAAGTGAAAAATCCTCAGGATACACACAGTTTCATTTTAGAGTTTAGTGATGCCATTTCTTTGTGAAATAGCTGTTACAAGATTGCTCCTCCTCTGCACCTCCCCTCTGTCCTTATTGTGTTGAATGGTACATTTTGCATTTCCATTGTGAGAAGAAGATACAAAACCATTTCGTTTAAACTGCCAGTGCATGTTGTATGACTGACATGGGTATTTGTATACTTGTTTCAAAAATTATTGGCAAGTTTTGGCAGAAATACTGGTGAAATCTTCAAAATGACAAACGCTTATCCTTTACAACATCCTGAGGCTGGAGACAGGGGAGATAGGGCCTATTATAGTTTTTTCTTCAACTACAACTTTTATTTCAGGAGTCATTCATAATTACAGATGATAGTGACTTTGAAAGGTCTATACACATGTATACCTCACCAAAATGTAACTCAAATAGTCTAAGTAGGAGTATTCATGTAAAACAAAAGTATCTTGGTGAACAGACATTTTTTATCATGGAAGTTTATATTGTTTACACAAAACTGCTCAAATAACATACCTATGACTAGGAAAAAGTAACTTATGTTTCTGGAGACATTTCATGATTATACAGTTGTGTTAGCTTTTTTTTTTTTCATTTTTACAAGTATACACTGTAACAACTATAAATATTTGATTAACAGGAGTGTCAACAGACTGAAAGAACCCTTATAAAAATAACACTATAGTTATGCCAAATGAATTTAGTTGAGCTATATAAACCAGGAATGAAGTTCTCTCTCAATTTTAATATTTCTCTCAATTTTAATTTTAACATTTAAATTTTAAATTTTCTGGTTTTTCTTTCAATTTTAATATTCTTATCTCAAAAGAATATTTCAAAAGGTATCTAGTAGTCATAGGCATGTTCAGAATTAAATTAGAAATGTTAAAGATTTTTTTTAGCTGGGCATGGTGGCATGCCTGTAATACCAGCTACTCGGGAGGCTGAAGCAGAAGGAGAATCACTTGAACTCGGGAGGCGGAGGTTTGAGTGAGCTGAGATCATGCCATTGCACTCCAGCCTGGGCAACAGGAGTGAAACTGTCTTTCAAAAACAAACAAACAAACAAACAAACAAACAAAAAAAGAATTTTTTTGGAATAGTAGTGACAGTATATTTAAAGTAGTTGTTCAATAAAGTAATAATAAAAACGCAAATTTTTTGTAGATTCTAGTTTCAAATATGGAGTAGAACCTGTTCAGTTCTTAGCATCAGACCAAAATTAGTTTTCTTATTTCAAGCAAAAGAAGAATAAAGCATAAAATATTTGGAGTACTGCAAAACTCCAGGGTATTCTAGATTCCATGGCAAACCTAATCTGTATTCCTTGAGATAAATTTGCAGTACTAAAATTTTTAGAGTATCCTATTTATTTCTGTTTTTTTTTTTTTTCTAATCTATGATTGGTAAATTGACCATCTAAAATAATTCAAAACATCTTCAAAGAGCCTTCCCAAAGGCTTTCTTACATATCTTCTAATCTTATACTTCTTTGTAGTTTCTGTCTATATTTTGTATTAATTATAAAGGCAGGTTGCTTTTTTGCCTTTTTACTAAATAAATATGTTCTTGATTTTATTTGTATAATGCTTCATATCACATAATTTTTAGAATTTCATAATCATAATGCCTTGGTTTAAGAATATATTAATTTTACTTAGATTTAAACATATAGCCATTTAAGGAATTTTTTTTTTTTAAATAAAACCATTTCTTTGTTCTTTTACTTGTTGATCTCACTATATGTCAGCAATAATTTTTCATGGGGGGGATAGGCTCGTTATTTTCTACATCTTAAAATCTGATTTTTTTATTTGTTGTAGGTTTTATTGGGATTTAATAATGCTTATAATGATGGTTGGAAATCTAGTCATCATACCAGTTGGAATCACATTCTTTACAGAGCAAACAACAACACCATGGATTATTTTCAATGTGGCATCAGATACAGTTTTCCTGCTGGACCTGATCATGAATTTTAGGACTGGAACTGTCAATGAAGACAGTTCTGAAATCATCCTGGACCCCAAAGTGATCAAGATGAATTATTTAAAAAGCTGGTTTGTGGTTGACTTCATCTCATCCATCCCAGTGGATTATATCTTTCTTATTGTAGAAAAAGGAATGGATTCAGAAGTTTACAAGACAGCCAGGGCACTTCGCATTGTGAGGTTTACAAAAATTCTCAGTCTCTTGCGTTTATTACGACTTTCAAGGTTAATTAGATACATACATCAATGGGAAGAGGTAAGATGCATCTTTTTCTTTTTTAAAATCTATATCAGAAAATTGTTAATTATGGCTGTTTTACAATGAACAATTACTGTGCTATGCGTAATGAGTTTTATGAAATTCAAGTAGAAAAATGTATTTGACTCCTCTTTTCCATGCATAAGTGATATATTGTATTCATAAAATACATGATCAAATAATGGATTTGAATGAACTAAAAAAATAGCGATCATTTTATGCCAATTTATTATATTTTAAAATAAATACACTTTAATCAACAATTATTATCCTGATCAATACAACCCCTCTCCCACTTTGGTTTTTTTAAAACCTAATATAAATACATCAAGTACCGTCTTGTTTTTTTTTTTGAGACGAAGTCTCGCTCTGTCGCCCAGGCTGGATCTCGGCTCACTGCAAGCTCCGCCGCCGCCCAGGTTCACACCATTCTCCTGCCTCAGCCTCCAGAGAAGCTGGGACTACAGGCGCCCGCCACCACACCTGGCTAATTTTTTTTTTTTTTTTGTATTTTTAGTAGAGAGGGGGTTTCACCGTGTTTGCCAGGATGGTCTCAATCTCCTGACCTCGTGATCTGCCCACCTCTGCCTCCCAAGTAGCTGGGATTACAGGCGTGAGCCACCTCGCCCGGCTAGTTTTTTTTTTGTATTTTTAGTAGAGAGGGGGTTTCACCGTGTTTGCCAGGATGGTCTCGATCTCCTGACCTCGTGATCCGCCCACCTCTGCCTCCCAAAGTGCTGGGATTACAGGCGTGAGCCACCGCGCCCAACCTGGTACCGTCTTTGATAAAGATGTGTAGGGTCTGATTGCTAATCTGGCACATCGTTAGCTCTATGAGATAGTGTGGTTTTTGTCTCCTCTAATATTGAAGTTTCATTGAATTCATGCTGGGGTAAAAGAGATTGTTTCTTTATTTCCAAGTTATATATATAATGGCTTTGATTTTAGCGTATTAATTTTGCTCATTGTTATGCCTTGCCTATAGTAACTTATTATAATTTCTCCCTATTAGTTCATTTAATAATACTAAAAAAGAACATATTCAAGAGGGACGTTAGTACATAGAAAACACAAAGAGTATAGTGAATAAATGGAGTGAATCTGACCAATCATGGCCCATATTTTGCTGAATAGGGCATATGTTGTTGTTAGACAGTGGGTGAGACCTGAGAGGACTCAGCCGACTGGAGTTTCCAAAGATCTGACTTAAACCATCATCAAGAAAAGGAGTTTATATCCCTGTCTTCAAAGTATGCATATTAACCATTTTGACTTCCTTTTCTTCCTAAGTCTTTTTCTATTAATTATAACCTGAATTTTATTGTCTGCATAAACATAAGAGTCCAAAAGACTTACAGAATACCTAAACCAACACTAATGAGAGTCATATGAAGTCATATACTGGCTATAGATTATTGCTTTGTCCCCTGCAGAAATACTTTTTAGCATTTTTAAGATAAATTATGCTTTTAAATATGTCATAAAATGGAAGTTCTGTTTGATTTCTGTGAGGCAGTAGCAGTGTTTTTGTGTGTGCTTGACAGTGACATTTTGGTTCACAGGATTTCAGGAAATGACATGCAATAATAAAACACTGCATAACGCACTGATAAAAAGGCATAAAAATGGATCATTCTTAAATATAGATATGGGATATATTTAAAATCAAATGAAGCACATTTGAGAAATCAGATTCATCTTGTAATTTTTCTCTACATAGCACATTCCATCTAAAATGGAAGAAATGTTCAGTTCTCAAAGCTTTTTAATGCTAATTTGAGATTAATACCAAACCAAGATGATTCTTGCTAGTAATTGCAATATTTATTGAAGGCTTATTACATGTCAACTAGTATGTTCTTTACATATATTAGCTCACTGAATCTTCCTAACAACACAATGATGTAAATGTAATTATTGTCATCATTTTACAGATGAGAACAATTAAATACAATAAGGTAACTTGTCCAGATTCATAGAACTAGTAAGAAGTGGAGCTGGGATTCCAAACTTGGCAATCAGACTTACGAGCCAGTGTTCTTAACTGCAAAACTATATCGGTTCTTACTATGACATATACTGCTTTTGTTATAAATATCTTAATATTCTACCATTTTATAGACTGTCTAAGAAATTATAGGGAACTTTTCTTAAATAAGACTGTGGGCCATGCAATGCAACAGAGTTGAATAGTACCTCTTGAAACAAGGCCACAGAAAAATATTTTAACAAATATCCTGTGAGAGGAAAGTCACTGATATAAATATCCAGTCAATTAAAAATACAGTAGCAATGTGACTATTTTTAATATCTTGTGGTTTTAGCCCAGTTACTAGAGAATGGCAGCAGGATAAACAGATGGCATCCTATCACATAAAATGGCAGGCTATGTGGTCATGGAAGAGTATACTCCTTAACACCAATGTCCTTTGGCTTCTGGCAGTAATCACAGACACCTAGATCTGTGTAACATGATGTGTTTTAAAGATGCCGTGATAAAATTTAGGAACACCAGCTCACTGCTATCATTATTGTAAAATGCAATTTAATATGCACTTACAGACATTTGGTAACCAAGCACATTCAGGCTAGAGTTGTGAGTTGGCAACATGTTTCTTATAAATAAATGAGCTTGGTAATAAATGAACCATAAGCCCATTTAGGTGAAGAATGTTTTCTTGATTATATGATACCCCATACAATATCATATATCTTGGGTATTTAATGCCCGTTAGTAATCCTGTTCAACAGGGAAGAAACAGAGTCATAATCCAGAATGTAATACAAATTCATCTTTCCATCACCTACATGTTTCTAACCATAATCACCAAGAAATTTGAATGATTCCAAAACTGGAAATCTCTCTACCTGATTTTTGTAAATGCCACCAGGATGTGTTTACAAGTAGAAATACAACAAATAAATCAGAAAAAGTAGCTCTTTGAGCTTTTGCAATAAGAATGCAGAGGAAGATGTGAGTTCACCCACATGTCTTTGGTTCTGAGTGTTTTAGTACCAAGCTGGCTAATGCTAAATTCAGCAAATTTGGGGAAGTAATGTGTGAAGTCTGGAAGCTGTCACTGTTCTAAATGAATCATTCCTGAGGAAAGCTGCTGCCTTCTATAGGAAGCTGCTTCCATCTTCAACAATACATTTTTTTTTTTTTTTTCTGGACTGAATTAGTTCAACTGAAAAACAAGAAGAAGCTCTGATGCCAAATAAATTAGAAAAATATTATGAATCAGATACAGAAGCTTTAAAATTTTGTGCTTATGTTATTATCATTACTAAAGCTGAATTAGTGGTTAATACAGGAGGAAATAGCTGATTTGAGCAACTAATTTATGAAACACATGGTGTTAAGAAGTGAGGAGGGAAGTTGTTTTCATGAGTCAGTTATAAGATCAATAGATTTGGGATGTAAAAATAGCTTTCTGTGACATTACACTGAAACTTTGTATATATTGCCAGGTGAGGTAAAAATCAGAGACAATTTAGATAAATCAAGCCAGAAATTTCTTTTCATGTAGTAGCTAGAAAACTGAGGTGAATCTTTCCCATTTTTACATTTGGGTTTAAAAAACTATTATTTGAGTCAGCATTGTCGTTGTTGTTATTATTAAATATAATAAATAAGACAGTTATCCAAGCCAGACTGCTATTTCATAACCTATCACAAGGGGAACAAATTCAGTGTGATCCTCCTAAAAGAGACATACGGTGAGGAAATCCCTGGAAATTAAATGGAATATGTGACAATCACAAGCCACTGAAGAGATAAAGAGAGATTAAGAGCTTAGCGAATAGGAGATTATTCAGTGTGTAAAGGTGAAGAGTTCCTTTACAGCTGCTGATCTCAGTCATTTTATCAACAGGAGATGACCTTCGAAATTTTTTAGAGGTTTAGGAAATATTAATTGCAAATAGAAATGCTACTCTGTAATGATTATCTCTTTGTAAGACTTAACGTCATAGATAAAGCATAAATTATTCTTAATTTTAGAAAGTGGGAAATGCATCATTATATAATAACTATGGCTTTGGAATATATAGCTTTAAGATTTTACTTTTTATTCATCATTTCCCATCTCCCCAATCTCCCTTGTGTAGAACTGGGACATAATACAATTAATTAAATACATTTTGGGACAGGAAAGAAGGCCTATGGTTTTGATCTTACATATCTATCGCAATTTCAGATGAATAATGTGTCTTGAACATTTCAATGCTTGTCTTGAAACCAATATTAGATTTTTATACTGGCTTAGAGATAGTTTACAAATTATGTATACCAACAGAACAGTGATAAGGAAATTTATTCCATAGGGAGCTAATGCAGATTACAGTTTCTGTCTTTGGTTAATTTTAGCATTCAAATTGGTGTAGAGTAGAAACTAACTCTTACTATAAATTGCCTATCTATAATTATACAATGCATATTCTAATTACTTTTATATTTTAAAAAACACATAGGATTCTAAGACTTGCCATAAGCAAACAGCAGAATTTTCCCAAACCTGCCCTGTACCAGAACTTAGAGAACCTCCATATTGCTTATCACATCAAATCTGTGTTTCCTTGCTGTGCCTTCAAAGCTCTCCAGCACATTCTTCCCTGGTCTTACCATCGTCACTTCATATTTGCACCCAACTCTTTCCTGTTTGTTTTTGTTTCAGTTTTACAGTGCTGCTTGCAGGAAATGATTCTTTCTGCTTCTATAATTTTATTCCTGCTACATCTCTGATTTGGAAAGCCTTTTTTTTTTCTATCACTCCTTTAAAAATCAGACTTAAGGCCAGATGCAGTGGATCACCTGAGGTCAGGAGTTTGAGGCCAGCCTGGCCAACATGGTGAAACCCTGTCTCTACTAAAAAAAATGTATGTATACACACACACACATATATATAAATTAACCAGGCATGGTGGTGGGCGCCTGTAATCCCATCTTCTCGGGAGGCTGAGGCAGGAGAACAGCTTGAACCCAGGAGGCGGAGGTT